CTCTCTCTTTCTCCTCTGATGGGTTGAGCAGTAATGATAGTTTCTGCAGTATACCTTCCTTAAGAGATAATCTCCAATCTGTCATGTCAGATGTCTCCAAAAATTTTAATGTTGTACATATCAACGCTCAGAGTATCGCAGCTCACTATCCTGACTTCCTTGCTACCTTTTCTGACAAGAACATTCATGCTGTACTTGTTTCAGAATCATTTCTTCATCCTTGTCTTCCATCTACTTCTTACTCTCTCCCTGGATTTCAGCTTATTCGCAACGATCGTACTAATACATCTCACGGCGGAGTGGCTATTTATCTGCGTAACCACATTTCATTTTCTGTGATAAGTCGATCAATGCAGCCCCCCCCACCCGATACTGCAGAACACCTTTTTCTGGAGGTCACTCTTTCTCACTCTAAAATTTTGCTAGGAGTTTACTACAGCCCTTCTCTTAGAGTCAATTTCTTTTCATCTTTCGAGAAACTATTAGAAGATTTGACCCCGTCCTACAGCCATTCTATTATAATGGGTGACTTTAACACATGTCTTTTAAAAGGTGATCTACGGTCCAATACATTAAAGTCACTCGTTAATGCTTGTAACATGAATATTCTCCCCCTTAATGCCACTCACTATTTTCCTAATTGTTCTCCTTCTCTTCTTGACCTGATTATTGTTTCTTCTTCCGATCATGTTGCCAAACATGGTCAATTCACAGCCGATGCATTCTCTTACCACGACCTAATATATCTTTCATATAAAATACGTCCCCCTAAGGCTAAGCCAAAAATTCTTCTGCAACGTAATTTTGGTGGTATGGATCTGGACAAGCTGCGTGATGATGCTGGAGCGGTTGATTGGTCAGCGGTCAACAACGGTGCTACTGTTGACGAACAAATAGACTTGTTTAACAATCTTTTGATTAAACTTTATGATGTTCATGCACCTATCAGGCCTATTAAGATCAAGCATTTGCCCGCACCCTGGCTGACTGATGACATAAAATCTTTAATGGCGAAAAAAAATAACGCGAAGGCTAAGTACAAATGCAACCCCACAGACAGTAACCGTGACAAGTATCATCGAATCAGGAATCGCTGCAATACAGTGTGCAGGGACGCACAGCGCCGCCACATCCATAAATCCGTGGAAAGCGGTGATCCCGCTAAAGTCTGGAAATTCTTAAGATCTCTGGGAGTTGGCAAACCCCGAAATCAGAATTTGGCTCAACGTTTAGACATCAACCGCTTAAATAGTCATTTCTCTGTATCGTCTGCTCTTGACGCTCATGTCAAAGAAAAAACTATAAGGTATCTTTCTTCTTTGCCAACACCAGATTTTGCTCCGTTTACTTTGAGTCAATTTTCCGATAGTGATGTTGAGAAGAACATTCGTGCCATTGATTCTAAAGCGGTGGGTAATGACAATATTGGCCGTAACATGATTATCCCCTTACTCGACATTCTAACTCCAGTTATTGCCAATATTTTCAATAAATCTATTTCCTCTGGAAGTTTTCCAGGAATTTGGAAAGATGCTCAAGTTATTCCACTTCCCAAAAAATCAAATCCTGATGCTATGTCCGATTTCCGACCAATTTCCATTCTTCCTTTCCTTTCCAAAGTTCTTGAGCGTCTTATACACAATCAACTGAATGAATTCCTTCGAATGAATAACTTGCTAAATCCCTTCCAATCTGGTTTTCGTCCTGGCCATAGCACAGCTAGTGCACTTGTCAAAATTACCGATGACATTCGTTTTGGCATGGAGAGTCAGAAACTCACAATTTTAACTTTATTAGATTTTAGTAATGCTTTTAACAATGTTGACTTCGAAATCCTGTTGAGTTTACTGCGTTCTCTTAACATATCTCCTACGGTCATTGACTGGTTTCGTAGTTATCTACATGGACGCCGGCAGCGTGTAATTGTAGGTGAATCCATCTCTCAATGGTGTACTCTAACGGCCGGTGTTCCACAAGGTGGCGTGCTATCTCCTTTGCTCTTCGCTATTTTTATTAATTCTATTACTCACAATTTAACTTCTACCTGCCATCTGTATGCAGACGATCTCCAGATTTACACACAGGATCGACTGGAAAACCTAAATAATGCAATAAATAACCTTAATGCAGACTTAGCATTTATTACGGAATGGAGCAATGCATTTGGACTTAAAATCAATCCAATAAAAACTCAGTGCATAATTATTGGTAGTCCTTACTTTATATCTCGGATTGACTTTAAGCAGCTCCCATCAGTTACTTTAAATGAAATTGTTATCCCATTTGCTGAAACAGTTCGGAATTTGGGGGTCATATTCGATAACACTTTATCTTGGTGTCCTCAGGTTGCTGAGGTCAGTAGACGAACTTTTGCTGCTGCTGGCTCTTTGCGACGTTTACGTAACTTCTTGCCTACTGCCACCAAAATTTCTCTTGCAACTTCTCTTCTTCTACCTATTCTTGATTATGCAGATGTTTGCTATCCCTATCTTACCTTTGATCTTCTAAGTAAACTTGAACGTCTGCAAAATTTTTCCATCAGATTTATTTACGGTTTACGTAAGTACGACCATGTTACATACTACAGGCAGAAATTGAAGTGGCTTCCCATTCGTCGTCGCCGTGATCTGCATATACTGTCCCTACTCTTCTCAGTACTGTTCAATCCAAAAGCTCCTGTCTATCTCAAAGAACGTTTTCAGTTTCTTTCTTCTTCTCATAATCTTCCGCTTCGTTCATCTGATAATCTCCTGCTTTTCACACCTCCTAACTTTTCCAAGGCGTATAGCCACTCCTTTACCATACGTGCCATCCAACTATGGAATTCTCTGCCGGAAAAGATTAGGCGTGCCCAAACTCTAGCCTGCTTCAAATCCCTAGTTAAGGAGCATTTCTTGTCAGATGAGCATAATTTTCATTAAAATATTGCTACGGTAGTAGTACTGTTGCATTATACTGCGATATGTGTGAATGTTTATATGTATGCCTATGTTTGGTTAGCGTTTATTTTAATTAATTTCAATTGATTACTTACAAAACTTTTGTCTTGTTTTCCGCACAACCTCCCTCATTATTATTATCGTGCTTTCTACTTTTTCCAGCTCATTGGGTTGTCTGGAAGAAATCGCTGATTAGCGATAAGACCGCCCTTTGTGCAACTGTGATTGTTTTGCCTTGTATTTGTATTTTATTCGTGTTATTTATGTTACTGTTGTGCAATAAAGTATTATTATCTTATCTTATAAATACCTGTTTAGAGAGCAACTTAGCTTTTATGAAATCAATTCCTAAATCTGTAGCTTATTGGTCTGCACGTAAACGAGATCAAACAAACCAACCATGTTTTTGACGATTGTAACAATTTTTGTTAACACCAGCTATTTCAGGGCTTTTGCATGTCTAGATATTAGTTAATCGAAATTAACTAATATCTAATCAGGGCGCCGTAATACTGTTATTTGAGGGAGATAAAATGAAAAATCAACAACCGCAGTGAACAAGATATATTCTGTTAATATTCAGTTTTATATTTCAACATATATTAACTCACTTAACATGATTAATTAATATCTTTGAAGGATGGCTTTTACAAATTTTAAGTAGTGACGAACATATAGTCAAAACAGGTGTACATACAGTTATATTAATGTTAATATTCTAAGAAAACATTTTGTTTTAGCAAGTATCGTACATACAAATATATTCATATAAAGATTCTCAATAAACAACTCGTTTGGCAAATATGAAGCTACTTACGTTAATGAATCTACAGTTTACAACAACAAATCTTTTATTATGTTCTAACAATCTGAAACTTCGTACTTCGGAGAATGCACTGATTAATGAATAAATAGGTTGAGAGTTTACTTAGCTTTCAAGATATTGGTACCATCAAGCGAATCAGGCATCCACGTGGATGGTAATAGAATCTGCTGTCATCACCAATGTTCTTTGTTTGATCAAGATTGCATTCACAGGCTCATATATATATATATATAGCGTACTTCTTTATGTATGTATATCCAAAGAAATTCCAAGCAGGATTGATTAATTACTATTATCGTATACTGTTGTTTTAATTAGCCACCTCAATGGACCTAGAAACAATTACACATATTTCCTATAATTCACTAAAAAACCTATATTTGACCTACGACCTATCTAGTAAGATATTGGACTTACCCGTTATTCCGGGGAAAATATATTAAATAATAATGCACGGACTACAGCTTCCAGTTACTGTGCAATTTTACTATATGTTCCTTAGTACGGATAGTAGACAAAAGAGACTTGAAACCGTCTGCGCAAAGCTATTTATAGGGGCATATCACGTGTGCACGGCGTCCTAGCAAATTTCTCTCAAATCACCATATTTGGTGCGAGGAAATGACAGGACCAGTTAGGCCGGCTCCGCCCATCAAAGAAACTCCTTCCAGAACATTAGTGCTATCACGCATCCTATACGTGTAATTTTATTTCACTCTGTTGCATACTAACTCCATCTGTCGAAACTTTCAAACTCAACTATCAAATTATTCATTCAGAATGAATTCTATGTTTCTTTGAAACAGATTACATTATTCGATGATTCTTAGGTATGCTGGTAGATGGCGCTTTGATTAATAACATTACTTGATATTATAAAATTATGTTGCTACACGATCAGCGCTAATGAAATAGGATGGCCGCAACTTTTAAAACTTCTGCATAAACTCAAGAATAACGGTGAAATATTAACGGATGAACAGATTGAAACATTAAATTATTTTCAAAAAATAACCTTGGTCAATGAAGATGCCGTAAGTTGCGCAATTTACTTCAACAAGCTGGTAAATGTCATCATGTTAATTTTACAATCGAAGAAAGTGAGTCCATTTGGAAAATATAGAGTTCTCAATTACTTCAAACGCATTGAGTTTCAACATAGTCCACACGCCCATATATTATTATGGTTGGATAATGCACCTAAGGTCGGTTTGAGGCGTCTTTCTTGACTATTCGTGAAACAACAATTCTTATACCTTTGGAGAGTGAAAATCCAGAGTTGAAGAATTTAAAATTACAGTACCAAAATATACGGAAAAACTTAGAAGATAATAATATTGAAGAATTTTATCAAGCTAATGACATATTATCAGATGAGAATTACATGAACATTATTCGAGCTGGAATAAATCGACCGCGAGTATTTATCAAAAGGCAACCTTCTGAAAAATGGCATAATTGTTTCAATCCTTTTATTCTTAATGTGGTTGGGTCCAATATGTATTTTCAATTCATCACTGAAGAATATTCATGCGCCCAGTATGTCGTTGATTACATCAATAAGACGAATAGAGGAATTAGTGACTTACAACAGAAACTCGTTGATATAATGAATGAGTATCCAGACTTTGACATTATTTCTGCAACTAAAAAACTCAGCGTCAACATACTCAATAGTGTCGAAATGTCAAGTCAAGAAGCTGCGTGGTTTTTATTACGAGAACCTATGTCCAAAGCGTCGGTAGCTGTTGATTATATACCCACTTATTGGCCACAACACCGAGAGCGAATCAGAAAAACTCTAAAGGAACTAGCACAACTTGATGATGATGACATACACATTAGGAAGGAGAATTGGTTTGACAAGTACGAAAAAAGACCCGTTCAACTTGATCACGTCACTTTAGCCCAGTTTGTTTCTCGGTATAATGTTACTGCTAAAGGCATTGTAAAACTCCGGAAGTTTCCAAAAATTAAAAGATATCGAAATTATGACATGGGGAAAGAATTATCGGAATATAAAAGAGAAATGGTTACTCTACACATTCCATTTAGTATTGAAGAAACTGATATTCTGGCAGACATGAAATTTTTACGTATTTTTGAAGAAAATAAGCCGTCATAATGGAAAGGAGAAAAGAATTCGAATCTAATTTAGACATTGCTAAAACTATGGAAATTTGCTCTCGGTTATGTCGGGAAGAAATTGAGCTCAATGATTCACAGGATCATCGGAATCAAGTTTATGTCGAGGAAGATCCGTACCAACTTCTTCTTCAAGATCCTCATTCAAGGATTAATGATGACGTGGTATCAGCGACGATGAATAAGCTCGGTGCGATATGGAAAAAGAAAGAAAATTTGATGGAGACTCGAGACTTTCTTGAATTGATGAGAAAAACAAACGCGAAGCAGTACGAGTTAGCACAACATGTTATATGTTTGTTAACTTCTCCCAATCCCGTCCCGTTACAGCTTTTGTTAACTGGTCCTGCTGGATGTGGAAAAACATTCCTAATAAAACTTATCATGGAAATCTGTAATCGGTTCACTGATACGGATGGTTATTGCAATGCTTATCTTGCATGTGCATCTACAGAGGAATCTCTTTTTATGAATTGAATGAAGTCATACGACATGAAAATGCTGAATTCTCATCACTGTTGACAAACGTCGGTAATGGAGATCAATTAAATACACAACAGTTTGATATGATTGAGTCAAGGTTCTGTTCAGAGGCAGAAGCAGAAGAACGCTGTCCTAGTGGAATCCGGTTATTTAATGACAACCACTCAGTTGACGCTTATAATTTAAAAATGTTGAGTTCATCTGATGAAATGACCAATTCAATTGCTGATGACGAAATAATTGGATGTAATGGAAATCACGAAAAAGAAAGAGCTGCTAAAAACAGGCTTCATAAGCTTGCTACAATCGACACAGGAGAATTGCCCTACGAAATTATTTTCGTTGTAGATAAGCCATATATGATAACAACCAACATCGACGTGGCTGATGGCTTAGCCAATGGAGCGGTTGGTAAACTTTCGTATGTTGAGTTGGATCCTCAAAATAAAGTACTGCGAGTTTGGCTTCTTTTTCCAAAAGGTGTTGGTGTTAAAGCTCGCGGGAAAGTCGCTGGTTATGCAAACTCAAAAAGAATCAGTAGAGAATTTGTTCCTCTCAACCGTAGATCTGCAACAGTGCCTCTGAACCGAAATAAATCGATTCATGCTAAAAGAAATCATTTCCCACTCAAACCAGCTTGCGCGTTGACCATTCACAAGTCACAAGGAGGAACATTTGATGAAATTGTGTACAAATACCACAAGACACATTCGCAATCTTTGGTCTACGTAGCCTTATCCAGGGTCACGTCTCAAGAAGGCCTTCACATTGTTCCTACTGACAACATTCAACGTTTCTATCATGGTAGACGAAGCAACGCATCAATGGCCCTTTTACGCCAAGAATTTATGAGGCTTTCCACTGCTCAACTCACAACAGTTGATCAGGTTATACTTGATAAAATAAATGATAGAAACATGATTCTCTTCTCACTCAATTGCCAAAGTCTCCAAGCACATGCACGTGATCTCCGTGGTAACGTTGTACAAAAAGCAGATATTTTAATATTATCAGAAACATGACTTCGCAACGAGGAATCCGTTGAAATTGAAAATTTCAGATGTATATCCCAATATCGACGACCTGACATTAATCGAGGAGGCGGGGTCAGCATTTATCAAAATCTTAATGATTCACACCATGTGCTTACTGGCAGTAATGATACTTTCTTAAGAAATAGTATGCACCAGGGATGTAACGGAAGCAGTGTTATCGGAACCGAAGCCGGAATCGGAGTTTTTAAATTTGCTTTATCGGAATCGGAACCGGAGTCGGAATCGGAATCGGAAGCAGGGTGACATGAGAGAGAATTATTATTTAAGGACAAATAAAACATTATGTAGTATTTTTTTTTTATTTTAAGTTTCAGTTGTAACATAAAAGTTTTATGTTTTATGATAAAACATAAAAAATGAATAAAATTGGCATATAAACAACAAGTTTAAATAGAATGAATTTAAACCCGAAGTAGCATATACTAATCAATTAGTAATTAAATTATAGTATAATTATTATACTAACGAACAAAAGCTTTAAAAAAATTAAATCGTATTAATTGACTCTAAAAGTAGCGTATTATATTTGACGAATAAAAGCTTTGAAGCTTTGTCTCCCTCTAATCTGTTTCTTAAGGGGTCGTAGATTAGGCCAGCGCCACTAAAAAGTTGTTCGCTCGCTACCGAGCTTGGTGGACAAGACAAAAATTGACGAGCAATTGATTGCAGGGGCTGGAATTTGGTATTACCATTAACTTTCCACCATAATAGCGGATCATCACTAATACTAATACGTTTTTCTTTATTGAACTCATTTAGTATATTTTTTACGAAGACAAATTTATCAAAAACTGGACTTTTATCAAGTGTGGTATTATTATCGTCTTCTTCATCACTACTTAATAATATGTTTGACAAAACTGATTGCACATTACTACTATGGCTAGTTTCTGCTGGTAATTCCATTCTTGCCCGTTTTTCTACAGGAGCGACAATATTATCAGCCTCGTTTTTAGAAGTATCTGCTGCATCAAATATTGACATTATTTCTGTTTCAATGTTCTGTTTAGCCACTTCATTAAAAAATTTTGTTTTATAACGAGGATCTAAATATGTTGCTATTGCAAAGAAATTGTTTGATTGAAAGTCACTAAATCTAGAATTTAATTGATCGATGGTACTTTTTATTATACTTTTAAATTTTTCATTTGTGTCTTGTTTATTGCCTTCAGTGTGTAATCGTAATGTATACTTAAGAGTGTGTATAAGTGGAATTACTGATGAGATACTTGTGTTATTGTCACTCATATTTCGGGTAATTTCTTCAAAAGGTTGAAGTATAGTCACTATTTTTTTAAGCTGCAGCCATTCTTCAGGAGACAATTGAGAGATGTTGTGCTTAGATGCGTACAGGCATAGAGAATCTTGTATTCTAATCATTCTTTGTAACATATAAAATGTACTGTTCCACCTGTAACAAATTATTAAACTAATTAACGCTTATAATTTAAATAATACTCTAAGTTATACTAACTTAGAGTATTATTTAAGTTATACTAACTTAGAGTATTATTTAAATTAAATAAATGACAGAAACTAAATAACCCACTCATTATAATCAGCGTGCATATACCACAGCAAGCTTTATTAAAATCGATTTAGTGGTTTTATTTGAATTTATTGTATTAGCATGGATAGATCTTTGATTAAATGAAATAATCTGGAGGTAAAAATAAATGCACTTAATACAACTTACCGCGTACTACACTCCTGTATTACACTCAAACATTCATGGTTGAGTTGTTCCTTTTGTATTTTGTGCAGTTCAGTCCGGGCTATTTGGGAATGATTGAAATGCGTCGAAATTTTTTTGCATTTCGATATTAAGGCTTTAATGTCTTCATCACAATCTAATAATGTTCGTACACACAGTTGCAACTGGTGTATAGTGCAACTGACATCAGGTATGTCGCCGAGTTTCATTGCTCGTATCATATTAGATCCAGAGTCGCGTACAAAGCAGTGAATTTTCTCTTTTACGACGTCCCATTCCATTAACATACTCTTAATATTTTCTAAAACTAGGTCTCCTGTATGTCTTCCGTCAAATGTGTGGCATTTTAAAATAACTTTGAGTCTTCTAAAATCTCCATTTATGCCATGTGCTGTCAGACTCAATAAAGACACATTCGAACTTGGTTCGGTCCAAATATCTGTTGTAAATGAGATCTTTTCAATTTGCGTGAGCAAATCCTTAATTTGTTTTGCTAATGTTTCATATAATTGGCCACAAATATTTTCAGTAAAAAAATGTCTTCCCCTTAAGTGATAATTCGGCACGATGAACTGCATAAGTCGCCGAAATCCTATACCTTCCACAAAATTGAAGGGTAGATCTTGCAAAGCAATCATTTCAGAAATCAATTTGTCAATTTCCATAGATTTAGGATTTGAAGTGCACCATTTTGTATTCTTCGCCAAAGTTTCTTTCAAAGTTATTTGTTTTTTAGCATCCTGAAGGGGCGTCGAAGTCGAAGGCTGTACACTTACAGTATTTTTTTTTTCAGTTTCTAACTTTATTAATTCTTCATATTCAGTGGCATGGACAGACTTCAAATGGCTTTTTAAAGACGTTGTCGTACCTCCCTTTCTTGAATACGTCTTCATACACAGTTTACACTTTGCCGAATCCGAATTAACTTGAATGAAGTAGTTCCAAATACAACTTGATTTAGGTTTCATTGTCCAACACAAAAACAGATCACTTTTATTGATAATAAGCCGCAAAAATCAAAACAAATATCTATTTAACCAATGAACGTGTCGTGCTGTCGTGTGCGTTAACAAGTGAAAAAATAATTGACAATAGAGTGCGCGGGTCGGGGGAGGGGCGATTCCCCGCGCGACGCGTATGAACCTGTCGAATCATAACAGTCGGTCGGCACACGCCGCCGCACTCGCCCGCTATCTATGCTTCGACCTCCGATTTACACCTCCGATTAAAAAATGTCGGAGCCGGAGTCGGAACCGAAAGTATAATAGTAATCGGAAGTTCCGACTTAACGGAACCGGAACCGAAGCTCCGTACCATCCCTATCTCCATACTATGCACTACAGTCAAACACATTCTTCATTGGGAGACGTATGTGCTGCGAAATGTGCTTTGCCTAACGTCACATTGTTGTAGTTTCGATTTACATTCCTGTCAGTCAAAAGATTAATGATGTAATAGATTTCATTCATGAGGCATTATTGTCTTATACAGAAGGTGGATCAAAATTACTTAGAAAAGAATACCATTTACTGCCGCTCGTACTGAGTGGCGATTTTAATGTCGATTTTAGGCCCTCCGCACATGGAGCTACTCAAATATGACGGAATTAATCAGTAATTAGAATTACAAACTAGTTATAAACTGTATTTCGCACACGACGCTACTCACATTGCAAGGTTTCAGTCACTCCTGTTATTTCTACTACCAAATAAACACGTGCAAAAAACCTAGCAAGGGGAAATATTGGAAGCAATAAAAATGTCGAGTGGATCGAGCGAAGATGACGATGTCATTATACTATATTATCATCATAACAGACGCCGAAGGAATCGACGCAGATTTTGGATTCACCCATATATCCAAAATAATGTGAACTGAAGATTTCAATTTATTTATAAGTGATTCCAAGGCTCTGTCCACCCCCTTCTGGGGGTCACGGACGAGAGTATATGCATGTACCTATGTATTTAATTAGTAGCAAGGTTAACTGGCCTTGCTTCCACCCAACTTAGAATTTACCCCCTGGGAGCCCGGGTCTGGTACTTCAAATTAACATTCGATACAAAAAAACTTGCTATGTCAACAATTCATTAGATCAGCGGTTCCCTACACATTTAAATTAAACACTGATCTAATGAGTTGCTCACTATGCGATTTTGACATAACAAGTTTTGATCTACTGAATGTTGATTTGAAGTATCAGACCAGACCCGTGAAGCCCTTCTTTCATTGAAAAGAGACTTATACCCCTGTAGTGGGAACGTGGTAGTATGTTACAGTAATTACAAGTAAGTACCTACTATTAAAATAAAGAAACACCCTGATATACCACAAACCATACTTTATTATTAAAACCATATTTTAATCACCATTTGTATTAATAAGACTCGGTACTGATTCATAATATGTCAGAATTTGATTATATGCTGGTGTGACTCGCTGTCCATTTGGTACAGGCTGCTCTTGCGTGGAAAGAGAATCGTGTTGTGTTTCAAAATTATATGCTGCCGTGGATTGCTGCTCATTTAATGAGGGCATTTCTTGTGTAGAAACAAATACGCTTTGTGTTTCCAAATTATATGAGGATGGTGCCAAAGAAGGTCTCTGGGGTTCCTCTAAAATTTCGTCCACTAAAGCCAGCACTCGTCGCTTGAAGGTTCTTGTTTGACTGTCGGACATTGCTTTCATGTCTGGCAGTAAGCTTAGAAGAAACATTCGCTTAGGGTCCTCTGTTTCTATAGTGTTTTTATCAAGTTTAGCCTTTCTGGCTTTAAAGTAGTCCATAATACCGTCATCGATTGTTGAAAATGATTTCCCTTTACGACGAGTAAAGCGGCTGTCAGTACTGGAAGCAGGTGGTCTGGATAAAGGGCATGACAAGGGCGACAGTGGTTGATTGGTTATAGGAGAAGATGCAGGCAAAGGGCATGACATGGGTGATGGATTGTTTTGGTATGGTGATGGCGTGCTTTGAGATGGTGATGTCATGTTTTGAGATGATAATGGGATGTTCTGATGTAATATGGATTGCGACTCATTTACTTCTTCGTTATCTTCTTGTTCCAACACTTCTTCTACTGCTTGCTGCGGGAGATTACCTGATACAGTATTATTCAGAGTTTTTATGAATGGAATGGTAAATTGCATCGCATCGGCCAAATAATAAGGTTTCTTGTTTTTTGATGAGGATCCACTTGGAGCTGGTTTTGTGTGCCGGACGAAAACTGCGCGCAAATTTTTCCATTTTTCTTTACATTGGCCCTCTGAAACAAAATTAACAACTTATTTTTTTGTTTCCAGGTACTTGGCAAGTGGCGATTCATTTGTGAACATCGGATACTATTTTGCTAGAGGAGATAATACAGTTGCACAGATAATCGCTGAAACTACAGTCATTATTTGGAATGTTCTAAAAGATATTTATATGCCAATCCCTAATGTAAGAAAATGGAAGAGAGAGTATATCAGAGCGTTATAGTTTGTTGTGGAATTTGCCTAATTGTATCGGTTCCTTAGATGGAAAACATATCCGAATAGAGAAATTCCATAATTCAGGATCAAGTAATTTTAACTACAAGTCATTTCATTCTGTTGTCTTGATGGCATGTAGTGATGCGGACGGGTTATTTACATTAATTGAATGTGGCTACGCTGGGAGAAATAGTGATGGTGGAATATTTCATGCTTCAGCTATCAAACAATGGCTACAA